ATTTTCTTTCCATAAGAAGCATGTAAGATTTATGTATCACAATATTTGGAAGTCTACAATTAAACCAGGTTACTTCAAATTTCAAAAAAAAAGGAGCATGTTGATTTATAATGTTATCAACAATGTATAGTTCTTACTAGTTTCTCCTAAAACCTTACCACCTGTAAAGGTGTCTAACACATCTACAATGCAGCATTTAGTGAGGTTGGAGTGTGTTGACTGTTAGGAAGAGTCAATGACAGGGAGACGACAGCCATTTGTTCTGAGAACCCACCGTGATCGAGTTGTAGTGATTCCCTGCAGAAAAGATTTTGAGGTCCTTTTTGGATTCAATAAAATAATGTGACCTAGATTGATTAGTGAAGTCTTCCAGTAGAGCAGCATTAAATAGCAGTGATATATCCGCCCAGGATTTACTGTTTTTTATCTTGAAAGGTAGGAACCCCTACCTGAAGCTTGTTGTAATAGTCCAGGAGTGACTCGAGTGCTTTGAGTTTTATGTGGCAGCAGCTGAAAGTTTGTGGTTTGTGATTTTATAATTACATATTTGCATATGATTAATAACTATGACATTTCAAATAGCAGAGATTGTTATGTCAGAGTAAGTGGTCATTCTCAGAGAATTGTATTATTAGCCCGACATAATATCGTATATGGGAGGACTCGCATGAGGGATCCAGTTCCCAATAAGTAAATGGGACCAATTGGTAGGCCTCAGCATGCATCTGACATCAACCTTACAAAGGAGAATACAGTGAAACACTGGTTATCCTCCAGGGAGGATTTTACTAACCTTTATTCCTGGAATAAAGGTTTGTGGAATCGGGATTGGTTTTATTCAAATATTTCCTCAATGGTTGGTGGTATGTCCCCCTCATTACGGGCAAAATCAATCAATCAATCAACCAGTCAATCAAGCAGTCCATCCCAGCAGCTGTATCTTAAGAACACATGATGTTATTATGGAAGGTGAAACTGGAAAGGAGTAATAAAAATATTCGTGAGTTCTAGAAAATAGACTTTTTTCTCTTGAAATTTACATTTGGCAAGGAAGTTGATTTTACTTGGTAAGAGCCTTTAAGAGGCCTTTACTAGGACTCAGAAAACTTGATTCTGAGTCTACCAGGCAGCTGTGTGACCTCGAGGAAGTCATGCAGCTTCCTCTTTTGCAAAACTAGGAGATTAGACAAGATGGGCTATTCTTGTGAAATGGAAAAATATATGCATAGATGAGTTTCCTTCCATCGGTGTAACTAAAAATAAAGTGGCCTTTAAAGAATGATGGGCAGCCATGATCCTCCTCTTTCATCCTTTCTCTTTCGTCAGACTCCTTTATTCACCCAGTAGGTTTTTTTCTCTTTTCCTGCTTTAAACCTTTATGTTTTCCTGTGTGATAGTCATGACTCACTAGCGTTTTCCTCTTGTGTATGTGTGTCACCATCTGAATGAGATTCCTGCAGAAGAAGGAAATCGCAAAGCTGAGTGATGCATGAAAATCGCCTAGTGTCTGGCTTCAGGCTCTTCTCAGCAGTCCTTGAGCAGAGTCTTCTCCTGGTGGCCAGCTGGAGAATGGCACTCATCCTGGTAGATGGAGGCCCTGGAGGTCATTTTTTGAGCCACCACCAAGCCACTGGCCAGAGATTATTTGAGGCAGTTCTTTGCATATTGAGTATTTTCTTTTCTGAGACAAACTAAAAATTTGCCTATCTTCTTGTCTTTTTTTTTTTTTTACCCTCATTCAAATGTGTAAGTGAATGCAAGGAAAATGTTGAGAGTTAAATTGTAAAAAGAAAAGAAACAGTGAGTGTATGCACAATAATTAATTGTTAAATCTAAATTTGAGCAGGTTTGCTGCTTTAACTGTTCCGAAAAGCTGGTGTTTTAGCTTGAATTATCTGTAGATGAGTAGAGATGAATGAGAGGGCTTTTGAATTTTTCATCTTCAGGGTCATTTTAGGATTGCCTTTGCAGATCTGTTGTGCTGTTTTGGGGATTTGGAGCCAGTTGTTTTTGAGCAGAACCCTTGGATACAGTGAATGGATAGACTCCTAGAGCAGAGTCCTGGTTGTGAGGATGCTAAGTCTAGCCAAAGCCCTGTTCACCAAGGGCCACTTACAGAGAGTAAGTGCTTATAGGGACAAGGGGCTCTTGGGCCTGAGATGAACTAGAGGCATTTCAGAGGGGCAGTTTTCTCAGCTTGGAAGTAGAGTGAGCCCGGGTGTAATCTGAAAGGACACCAAGAAAGGCCAAAAAGGAACAAAGCTTGGAAGTTAAGGATTTGTGTCCTGAGCTCTGGGCTGTGGGCTAGACACAGGCAGAGCTGCCTTGCCCACCTCTGTATGCTGGTATTTACCTCTGTCAGGTACCTTTTATGGCTGTGGAACTCTGGGAGGCAAAGGAGGGGCCATGTTATCTCCCATTGGCCACGGCTCTACTGCTGGCATGTGGAAGGTAGCACATGCTGATTGCTTGCTGGACCAGTGAAGAATGGACCAATGGAAGAGCCCTGAGAAAGAGAATTCCTAAACTGTGCTAGAGAGACCTGGAGAAGGACAAGATAGACTCTCTCATTAACCTGGCTTCTCATTATGGGAATGGCTTCGGTGGCTACAGAGAGGGCAGAGATTAACCATTTAGCACTTCTTGTGGGATCATAAATTTGAAAGTTCTCTATGGGGGGTGGGGAAGGTATTGCAATTCACGAATGTGGTGATGTAAAAATAAAAATTGGTGAGGTCACTTTTGGGGGAGAGGTCCCCATCCTGCCCACTTGGCAGTTTGAAAAAAACAACTT